AAAGAGTGATAATAAAAAGTGTCATTTTCCTATCCTTGCACATGTAGTAGAACTACCAAATATTCACAAGCTGGTAAAAATACAGTAGGCCTTTCATATGCACTTTTCCGTCATTTTAAGAGAGGATTACACTAACCACAACTGCCAAAAAGAAAGTGTTTCAAATTGTGGGATCTGATCTATGGAAGGCAAGCTGGATGTATGGAAGTAGACAGATTTTGTGATCTAATATCAACATGCAAAAAGGATCGCACTTTGGAAGCATTTAGGAGATTTTTTTTCTGATTTTTTTTAATGCTCTCTTACTACATTCTTTTGTATAGACTCTTGATGCATTGCCTTGGCTTGTTCCTGCATACAGAGAAAACAAATGATTGACATTACACCACATATTTCAAGAAAGAGCAGAGTGAGAGCACATCGTATATTATGAAATGATTAATAACATTTTCTCATCAGAGCAGTAAAACACTGTAGAGGGATACAAACTGTAGTCAAAAGTCAATGCAAATCTTGACAGATATATATAATTTTTTTCTATCTTCCTCTATACATTGTGGAGTTTGATTAGGAGGTTCTATACAGTTGTATTCTATTTATGGCACAATCAAGCTCTTCCATTTTCTCTTTGAGGCAGAGAATTTTCTATAATGTTTAAATGACTTACATAAATTGATACAACCCAAGTTCTACAACATAAATAATTTGGAAAAGCAATTTAATCTTGTATCATTTTATAAAATGTACCAATAAAATTGTAAAAAGAAATGTCATCAATCCTGATTGAACCAATAATCCATATAAAAACTGCATACTAGTTTCTGATAGTGGGATAAAAAGCATTGTTCTAAAGCATCTTGAGTAAGTTCTGAATGAGGCCTCACATTGGTGAATAACAAATCTTAAACAGCTATTGCTGAGAGATGTGAGTAACATCTTAACCTAAGATCATTACCCTCTCTGTGGCTAATACTGCATTTTATAGCATTCTGCTAATATTCTGTATTGCATGAGCTTCCATAACTGTAAAATATGACTTTACATGTTTACATTTTCTTGTTTATTCCAATTTAACAGCAATGATCCACAAATGGACCTTGCATATAAGAAGAGACAAGTAAATGTAAGTTTTCATCACCACAATAATTGCAATACATTTCTCCTTAAGTAGTTGAAAAAATATATATACTCAAAATCTCTGAATTCCTCCCAAATGCAGCTTACCACGTGGTCCCATTTACTAAACATGAGCTTGTCTTTTCACTGTCTAATCTACTTATGAAATGCCACATTTGAATAACCTCCTACACCACATAAACACTATTGGATGACACCCTTATATACATATATGTATAGCTATGTACAGTACATGTCCTGTCAGTGAGCCATATCCTTCTTAGCAAGGTACAGTATTTTTCATTGAAAATCCAATGGGAAGAGAGTGTTGTAAATGCCTGTATTTACAATAGGAAGCAATATTGTTTACAAACATACACTTTAGAATTGTATGCAAGAACATGCAATTCAATAATATCAGTAATTTACATATATCAAAAGCATGTCTGGCAAAAAGTTTTGTCACCACGAGCAAATCTAGTCTTATGTAATAAAAATATTTTTATTCAAATTCTTGATGTAAATTAGTAGGAAAGAGTTTGTAGACTTCAGTTCAGCGAATATCATCCAAGAAAGTGGACTGTATTTTCATTGCTAAACTTTCATGTACTGGCCTGGCTGATATAAATTATCATTGGCTGCTTGGATCTCTCCTGCCAACTTTAAATCTGATAATACAATAAAAGCATAGTAAAGGAGCCATTTTGAAACACTTTCGTAAGTACTAAGAAGAATGTTACATATTTGGTGGCATTACGTTAGTATCACAACCATAGAATATAAATATACATCTTGCATTCTGATAAAGACATTTTCTTCTCCATAAAACAAATCAAGGCATTCACAGCATACAAGTAGATAAGGTCTAGTATGTATATTGCAACAAATGTGTCATGGTAAGAGACAGATCTATAATACACAAGGCTGTGATACAGTTACATGAGATTCAAGTACACATTTACTACACGTATGGTCTAAGTGCCACAGCTCAGAAGATTCTTTACTACTCCTACAGATGTTGCACTTTTTTTTTTTGATAATACACTGTTTACCCTCATGCTACTGTAGGTCACTGAAGAGCCATTCTTTTTCATTTACCTTTGTGTGTGTGTGTGCATTGTGTGTGTTGTATTGTGTGTTGTGTTGTGAAAGATACAATGCAACCTATTCATAAAATTTCAAACACAAGATACTATTTTGACTAGATTTATTACTCAAGAAATATTCCATTCAGCATGTAGCTATGGAAAAAATTAACAAAAATGTCAATATCAAAATCACTGGAAAAAAAACAATCATAAATGCCATAATACTCTAGAGAAATAGTTATATAAACTGTAAACTTACAGAAGTGATATATAGCTACATGTCTGTGTCTGTGCTTATGTGTCCATGTGAGCATATGTGCATTCTGGTGTATATGCGTGCATGTGTGTGTGTGTGTGTGTGTGTGTGTGTGTGTGTGTGTGTGTGTGTGTGTGTGTGTGTGTGTGTGTGTGTGTGTGTGTGTGTGTGTGTGTGTGTGTGTGTGTGTGTGTGTGTGTGTGTGTGTGTGTGTGTGTGTGTGTGTGTGTGTGTGTGTTTGAACTTCAAAAAAGAGTAAAACCAGTATCATTATTATTGCTATGCTACAGTTTACAAAAGATACATGAAAAAAAAATTGCTTTACCTTATGTAATCTGAAAACAATTTTTTCCCTGAAGATATGAACTAAAAAATGTACAAAAATTCTCTAAATAACCTCTTAATACTGTGAAGGAAAATGACAAAAGCAAAGAAAAAATACTACCCCCCCTACTTCTCTGTGAATGTCCTACTCTGTTTGCTTCAATTTCCCCTCAACTGATTATGGCTGTGTGTACGTGTATATGTGTGTGTGTGATTCCCATCACTAGCACAGCTCCTGTAAGTGCTTTCCCTATGTATGGTTCTCAGCAGCAGCCTCCTTCGTCCCCGAGCTTGAACAGTCTTCTTCAATGATGTCATGGCTTCGACCATTGAGGAAGTATGTTACCATGTCTCCTTTTCCTTTTACCTTTATAGTTCCTCTACAGGATAAAGGATATCCCTTCTTGTGTAAAATCTGATACACCTCTTGGGTTACCTGTTGGGTGAGAGCAAGTATTACGATTGTTGTTCATACACTTTCAGAGTAATAATACTGTAAGATATAAATACGGCTATTAGTGATATATACAAGTTTAGGAAATAATCAAAGAATTCAGAAAATACTTTTGATTGCCTTCATTCCTCTACAATTATTAATCTTTAAAAAAAAAGAGAGATTACAAGTAATTCCTGAACAGGAGTATTCTTGGTAGCAACATTCGTTCTTTTCAAGTAAGGAGTTCTTAAATGTACACAAACAAGACAGTATATGTATGACAGTATATACACTGTTGGCAGTTCATGGATCAATGTAAATGGTGAAGGTAAATATGCATAAAGAAAGGTTGTAAAGATACAATTAGAAAAATTCTATCTCTATAAATAGAATATAAAATAAAATAATGTCACTGTGATTCTTTGAATTATGCAAAAAATCATTGTAATTTTGTACTTATAATGACAAAATATAACTAAACCTGTGCTAACCAACAAAATTCAAAATTCAGTAATTTAGTCTTTTTTTAATAACTTGTAACAAATCCCATATCCTACCAAATATTTTGAAAAACAAATAAACTGATAGTTTTAGCGCAATATCTTTAAATATTGTTAAGTAACTGTGGAACAAGAATTCCACAGAGCAAATTATGTGTCAGCTATTCACATAAAAGGCAATACTCGTAGCCTAAATGTTTTTTCTCCATCATACTAACCACAATTCATCTGAAGCAACTAATTTCAAGGTGCTGGAGGTGGTATATACCAAGGCAGCCTTCTCATCTTGCATCCTTGTTTCTTTCCACTACTATAAAATACATCTTTTATACTAGCACACGATATTTACTATAGCTCTCTGCATTATCTTAATGGTTATATTAACACGCTTTACCCAGGATTTGAAAACAAATATTTTTTACCACTGAACACTGAAACTATAATTAGCTTTTTTTTAACACAAAACCACCAGGGACAGAAAGTGCGGACATGCCATGCCCACTATGAGTTTGATATCTATCTCACCTGTTAACCCATATCTTTGATTTTCAGAAATATTTAATTTTATCTTATAATACTATTAGAAATGTTAATGACATTATAATGACTATAACCTCTATAATAATAACAGTATCAATATTGACAGCATTAGCATTTCATAAGCCACAGTGACAAAATCCTATCTTCTCAGCAATGTCTTCCATGTATTAAAGTGAATAACTAATAAAGAAATATCTTTACACATATATTTCCTTGTCTAATATCATTCATAATCTTGATAGCATTGTTTATAATTCTCAGTGTTAAAAATATCTTTATTGTATCCATAGAACAAACAGTGAGGGTACTGATCAAGAAATCTTTTCCAGTTCCCTTATTTATATATATATATATATATATATATATATATATATATATATATATATATATATATATATAATATATATATATATATATATGATTTACAGACACAAGATGCATATGAGATATGCTTTGCCAAGTATGAGACCTGCCATAACCAGGAAGGATTGCACCCTTGGATTTTGCCTGTCTTTATGGCAAATTTGAGGCTACTTCCCCATCCAACAAACAAAAAATATTACCTACACCCCTATATAACAATGTGTGATGATAAATTTCTTACCTGTATTTTATCTAGCTCACCCGTTGAATCCATTCTTGACGCTACATTAACTGCATTTCCCCATATGTCATACTGGGGCTTTCTAGCACCTATAACTCCAGCCACAACAGGACCTATATTTATACCTGTAACAGAAAACAAATTAAATACATATTCCTAATATGAATTAGCACATACACTCATTTTCATATACCCCTTTCTTTCTTCTCTCTTGAAAGTAAATGTAATTTTTATTATCCTATATATCATAAACAGTTTCTGTTACTCAAAACAGTGTGTGGAAAGATTCATTATCTGGAGTTTCATAAACTTTCCTTTGCATTCACATCCTTACATACGAATAACACGTATCCATGTTGACTCTTCACAATACACCACTCAAATGTCTATCCAGCTTTGTGAAGATATCCAGTCTCATTCATACCTTTTCTACATTTGTTAATATACTCTGGCAAACTCAAGAGCAATATATAATTAAGCATAAGATTGATATAAAATTAATTCTTTATTATATTCATATTCTATGAATAATTCTCTTGCATTTACTATAATAATAATAATAATACCCTATATAACATATCTTCATTTCATTTCTAGTAAATAATGTAGCTAGTAGATAGATTTTCAAATAACTGACTTTTTTTCACAAGGTCATTCACTTTGTGAAGTATTGCAAATAAAAGTAACATATTCTAAACAGCCATTGTTCACTATCCAAAATACAATTTATAAAAGTGTAAAAAAGTGCATTAAATACTTGCCTATTCTTATTTTGAAGTTATTAAAGGAATGTTCATTTACATACTCCAGTTGGTCTCTTATCCGCAGAGCATAGTCAGCCATAGCTGTCACATGACGGAAATTTTTCAAATCCCTTGTAGATTTTGTGAGTCCTGTATAGAAATATAATGAAGTGATTTAAGGTTGGTATTAAATAATACTTTTTTTTTTTTTAAGAAAATATAATATTTCTGTCAATATAATCTCCAAACTATGCTAATATATGACATACATCTCATCTTATCATGTCAAGAATGTTGCATAAAATCATTCACTTTAGTAAGTATGACAAAATAAACATACCAGCAGCTGCCATGTAAGTGGCACCAGTGGATTTTATTTTTTCAATCCACTTAAAGCGTTCCTCTTCAAGAAGCTCATCAAAGTCTGCTATGATTTCATTGAGAAGCCGCAGACATTCTACTCCTTCATTATTGGACTCAAGTTCAACATAAAAGTCAGAGAAATTTGGGATGGAAGCAAACAAGATGCAGACACTTTCACATTCTTCATGGTAAAGTTCCTGCAATATGAAAAAATATACACATATACAATTTGCTTGTATTTTATCTGAAAGGAGCTTATAATGCAATTATTAAAGATTATAATTTGAAAACCAACTTTTAAAAATCCTTTTTTTGATTTCCTTTCATCTAACCATATCACAGTACATAAGCCAAGCTATATGATGGACATAGCAGTATATATAAAACAAGTAACTTAAATATGACAAAAAAACTTATATAGCACACTTACATCTGGTGCTCTGTCTGTGCACAGAAAATGAACAGCAACATGTTCTGGTAGAATGTTGGCTATCAGTTTCCTGTTATAGGCTTGCAGATGTTCAATTTCATCTTTCTCCTCTGTAATAATAATAATGATAATAATGATAATAATAATGATAATAATAATAATAATGATAATAATAATAATAATGATAATAATAATAATAATAGTTAAAGAAATAAAAGCATTAAATTACACTACTAATTTTTCTCCTTTTTCAATATAGTGCTGAAAGGTCTTTATAATAATATAAAAGAAAATGTCAGTGTACAAATAGGCCTGTGGTTGCATGAAGACAGATTAGCACCTAAATTTTAATTCAAATACTTGATTATAGAAACCCTTCTAAAGTCATTTTAAGTAATGATATCTTGAAAGTATTCCAGGAAATAAAATCATGCTGTGCAATTGCAAAAACAATGGAGGGTGAAAGCTTGTCCAGGACAACAGTGATAGATCCAAGATGTTTCACAAGAGGAGCTGAATATGTAACAGTATTATCGAAGGTGCAAGACTAAGGATTCTGGGAAATTTTAGCATTGCAAAGTAAATTTCCAAGTATTTCATGTTGCTTATTCTTTTGCTATGGGGGTACAATTTATCAATTTACTGCAGAGGGAGCCACCTTGGATCCACCACTGGGAATAAAGGAAACATGTGCATCACCAGTTAAAGTCTGCCATGGAAATCAATGTCTGGAGGTCTTCGTGGAGTGGATGGAGCCAGCAAAATCAAAATATAAGCACTGATAAATTCAACAGGAATCTTTCTCTCCCTTCATAAGACTGGAAATGTGTACAAGCTTTCACCCTTTTATGATATTCTTCCCTAGTGATATTTTCCACTTCTACAACCTGCTGCAGTCAGATGTTTCCACACACACACATACAGATACAGACACACACACACACACACACACACCACACACACACACACACACACACACACACACACACACACACACACACACACACACACACACACACACACACACACACACACACACACATGATAATTAGGAAACATGAAATTAAAGACAGCTGGGTGGATTGTCTACTTGGACTTTT